AGGAAAAAAAAAAAAAGAAAAAACTGGGTTCAAACCCGGCCTCAGCCAAACTGCAACAAAAATATAGCAGGGCGTTGTAGCGGGCACCTGTAGTCCCAGCTACTTGGGAGGCTGAAGCAAGAGAATCACCTAAGCCCAGGAGTTGGAAGTTGCCATGAGCTGAGTGACGCCACGGCACTCTACTGAGGGCAATAAAGTGAGACTCTATCTCTACCAAAAAAACCCCCAAACAAACCTGTTTGTAGAGACAGAGTCTCTGTATGTTGTCCAGGTTTAATTTTTATTTATTTATTTATTCTGTCTTTTTTTTGAGACAGTCTCACTCTGCTGCTCTGGGATTGAGTGCTGTGGCATCATCATAGCTCACAGCAAACTCATGGGCTCAAGTATCCTGAAGTAGCTGGGATTACAGGCACCCACCACAATGTGGGCTATTTTTAGAGACAAAGTCTTGCTCTTGCTCTGGCTGGTCTCCAACTCCTGAGCTCAAGCAATACACCTGCCTCAACCTCCCAGAGAGCTGGGATTACAGGCATGAACCACCCATGCCTGGCTCTAATTTTTTTATTTTAGGGACCACTCTTGCTCAGGCTGGTCTCCAACTCCTGAGCTCAAGGGATCTGCTAGCCTTGACCTCCCAGAGTACTGGGGTTACAGGCGTGAGCCACCACACTTAGCCAGGCTTAATTTTTAGATTTAGTTTTTGTCCTCCAGTGGTTTAGCCAATTAGAAATACAGTCAAGTGGGCAGCACCTGCGGCTCAAGAGAGTAGGGTGCTGGCCCCATATGCTGGAAGTGATGGGTTCAAACCCAGCCCCAGCCAAAAACTGAAAAGAAAAAAAAAAAGAAATACAGTCAAGTATCACTTAACAATAAGGATACATACTGGAAAAGGCATCATTAGGCAATTTTGCAGTTGTGTGAATATCACAGGCTGCAGTGACACACACTTAGTGGAATACCTGGTGCACACCTGGGCTACTGAGTGTGTTCTATTGCTCTGCAGGGAGGACACAATGTAGGTGTTAGTGTGTCTAAAAATATCTGAACATAGAAAAGGTAAAGTGAGAATAAGGTATTATAATTTTATAGGACCACTCATGTATATGTGGTCTGTCCTTGACTGAAGCCTCGTTATGGGAAGCATGATTATATATTTGAGAAGTCCTCTCTGGACCAGCGTGAGCAACAGCAAGACCCCGTCTCTACTAAAAAACAGAAAAACAGAGGCAAGAGGATCACCTGAGCCCAAGAGTTGGAGGTTGCTGTGAGCTAGGATGTCACAGCGTTCTACCCAGGATGACAGTTTGAGACTGTCTCAAAAAAAAAAAAAAAAAGTCCTCCCTGGAAAGAGTGAAAAGTCATTCTGGATCCCTGCTCCAACTGGCCTCTTCCCATGCCCCAGGTAAACAGACTTATATTCTCAGGGTTCTTTGTACAAGCAGCAAACAAGAACTTCTCCCTCTCCTTCATCTAAGTCTGGTGTTGTCTCCACCTCCCCACAGCCCTATGAAAACTCTCCCAGATTCATGCTCATTGAGCTACCCTAACCTTTTACAGTTGAATAAACCCATATAACACCAGAATTTGTGGGTTTTGTGGTCTCTCCTGAAGACGCATAGTTTCAAGTCTCTCTCCTCCTGGCTATGTGGCAGGAATTAACCTTGTATCCTTATCATTTGGATGGTTTGAGGTGACCAGGGTATGGGGGTGTGGGCTCAGATCAGAGAAGAAAATGCATGTGCTTCCCACAGACCCAGTTACTTGTCCACTATGGCAGGCAAGGGTACCTACTTTCCTGCTTCAGTGTCCTGCTGGGAGTTTTGCACATCCCATAGGCTGAAAAAAAACAGAATCTCTGGGGTTTGTTGGCATTTCTCTCTCTTTTTTTTTTTAGACAAAGCCTAAAGCTGTCACTCTGGGTAGAGTGCCATGGCATCACAGCTCACAGCAACCTTCAACTCCTGGGCTCAAGTGATTCTCCTGCCTCCGCCTTCTTAGTAGCTGGGATTATAGGCGCCCACCACAACTCCCAGCTATTTTTTGGTTGCAGCCATCCTTGTTGTTTGGTGGGCCCAGACTGGATTTGAATCCACCAGCTCAGGTGTATATGGCTGGCACCTTAGCTGCTTAAGCCACAGGTGCCGAGCTTTGCTGGCATTTCTTATACAATGAGTGAAAATATTTCCACATCTTTATGAGCCTTGTGTGATTTTTCTGTGAACTGTTTCCATCATTTACTCATTTTTTTACTTCTGGACTGTTACTATTTTTTTCCTTATTGATTTTTAGGTGTTCTTTATATATTATACTTCTTTTTTTGAGACAGAGCTTCAAGCTGTCCCCCTGGGTAGAGTGCCGTGGCATCACAGCTCACGGCAACCTCCAACTCCTGGGCTCAAGCGAGTCT